CTTTGATAACCCTCCTTTGTCATCCATCAGATTCTTTTTAAGTGTGTGGAAGATGGTAACAGACAACATTAGTTTTCACAGCCATATTTAAACCAGCATAAGTTTTCTACTTGTCTTGGTAAGGTTGGGGATCGAACAAACAAATTAATTGTCAATTAAAATTAAAGATGAGTTGATAAGGGTCTGCTGTGACCAAGTTGATCTTCATAAACGAAGGAACTTTTCTTTTCTCACTTTCGTGATAATTAAAGAAAAATCCAAATGCCTAACCTTTTATAGTTATATTGAGTAGTCGAGCTACTGTACTAGAAGCTTATCGTGTATCCTAACATATATACTGCGCATTGCGGCAAGATGAGTCACGCAACCTTCTTATGTGTATATTTGCATAAAATATAAATTTTAACAATCAATGTGTGGTGATAGGATGGTGATAATAAGATAGTTTAAAATATTATAGAAGTAAATTATTTTAAACTATTTAGATAAATCTGTTTTATAAGAACGAAAAATAAGGAGACTGGCATTGACTTTTTGCGAGACAATAATAAGATGGCAATATACAAAATCATGAAGGCAATAATATGTATTCTGTGCAAAAAAAAATTTATTTAAAACGATCGAGTAAAAACAATTCAGAAATTAAAGAAACCAAATCGTATATATCTTGGATGTTGTGGCAGGATTTGCCAAAAGAAAAACCAAATTGAGCAACACAATATTGTTAATTAGATTTTACTTGATAAAACATATATTTTATTAATAGTTAACAATTACAATAATGATATGATAGTTTTTTTAATATTAAATGGTTATAGCGTTTTTTGTTTTAAATAATTGAGTATGAAATTGATATTATTCTAATAGTTTGATCGTATGTTTAATATTTATCTTTTCTTATTATTAATGCTAGATTCGACAAATCAAAGAATTTGAGATTAAAAAAAAAAAAAAAACCTAAAGAAAAATAATGTAGGCTTAACTAAACAAAAAATTATCACTAGCACATATCCCGTATATTACCGTGGAATGAGCTATACAACATTCTTATGTGTTAATTCATATAAAATATAAATTTTAAAAATAATTATTTAAAAGGATCATGCAAAAAAATTTGAAAAAAAAAACCAATTGTTGTAGGTTTAACTAAACAAAAAGTCCGCAAAGTTGAGTAATATAATGTAAAGTCAAGATCATAAAAAAAAAAAAAACTTATAAACTATAAGACTAAAAAAAAATTCATTATGTATAAGGCATGAACAAAAGTAAAACATGATAGAATTTAATTTTACTCGAAGCTGAAAATGTTTTTTACTAAAAAAAAAAAAACTTAGAATAGTGCAAAAAAAAAACATAGAATAGTGAAACCGTATTTAATTTTAGTGTAGAAAGAATAATAATCAAATATAATAAAACTTTAATGATCAAAATAAAAAACAAGTACAAAACAGGACTAAAAAATAAATAAAATTCTATTCAATTTAATGGTCAAACAAAGCAAAAATCATAAAACAGGAATTATAATAGGAAAAAAAAAAGTTTCACCGAAAGCAAGAAAAAAAAAGCTTAGGATAGTGAAACTTTATTTAGTTTTAGTATAGTAAGAATAAAAATCGAATATGATAAAACTTTAATAATTAAAATAAAAACATATAACAAAATTGGAACAAAAAAAGAACATAAATTCTTACTCAAAGTCAAGAAAAAAATATTTATTATCGGGATAAAAATCAAATATAATAAAATTTTTATGACCAAAATAAAAAAAAATTATGAAACAGGAACTAAAATAAAAATAAAATTCACCAAAAGCCAAAACAGAAATGCAAGCAAAAACAAATGTGACCTAAATGAGACAAAAATCAAATATAATAAAATTTTAATGATCAAAATAAAAAAATTACGAAATAGGAAATAAAATAAAAATAAAATTCACTAAAAGCTAAAAGAGGAAATAGAGCAAAAAAAATGTGACCAAAATAAAAAAATGTTACAAAATAGGGACCAAAATGAAAATAAAATTCACTGAAAGCTAAAAAGGAAATGCAGCAAGAAAAAAAAGTGTGACCAAAATAAAATAAAAATATAAAACAGGGACTAAAATGAAAATAAAGCCAAAAGAGGGAATGCAGCACTAAAATGAAAATAAAGCCAATAGAGGGGACGTGCAGCACTAAAATGAAAGGAATGCCGAGGCAGGGAAAAAAAATAGTGAACAGTCAATCCACAGTAAAAGTGCTATAATATTCTTATGTGTTCATTCATATTAAATATAAAATTTAAAAATAATTATTTAAAAGGATCACGTGAAAAAATTCACAAAAAAAAAACAAATCATATATCTCATATTTTGCTACGGGGTTAGTTAAACGAAAAGTCCGCAAAGTTGAGTAATATAATGTTGCTAATTATATATTCTTTGATATAAACATGTATTTTATTAGAAATATATATAATAACCGATAACTAAAATAATGATGTGGTAGTTTTTTAAATTTTAGATGATTAATTTTTACCATATATTATTCACTCGTAATTTATTGATGAGATAGATAGACCACCCAAAATAAAAGGACAACAAAGCTTTATCAAATCGAGAATTTGAAAAAAAAACATAGAGATAAAATTGCACACATTAAAAATTAAACGATCAAAACAAAGTGAAGATCATAAAAGAAGGATCAAAATAAATAAAAAGCTTTCACTAAAAACAAAAAAAAAAAATCATTATACATAAGACAGGAACAAAAGTAAAACATAATAGAATTTTCATGGAAAAAAATTCTCAAAATAAGAACCAAAACATCAAATGCTTTTTACTAAAAGCAAAAAACCAAAAAAAAAAAAAAAAAAACAAAAACTTAGAATAGTGAAACCGCATTTAATTTCAATGTAGAAAGAATAATAATCAAATACAATAAAACTTTAATGATTAAAATAAAAGAAAGATCACAAAATAAAAAATAAAACATTACAAAAAGTTTTACTAAAAGTAAAAAATAGTTCCTCGTAGGAAAAAAATCAAATATAATAAAAATTTAATGATCAAAATAAAAAATAATTACAGAATAGGGACTAAAATAAAAATAAAATTCTACTAAATTTAATGGCCAACGAAAAGAAAAGAAAATCACAAAATAGGAACTATAATTGAAAGAAAAGTTTCACTAAAAAAAAAAAAAAGGTTAGGGTAGGGAAACTTTATTTAATTTTAGTATATTAAGGATAAAAATCAAATATGATAAAAATTTAATGACTAAAATAAAAATATATCACAAAATAGGAAGAAAAAAGAAAATAATTTTTTACTAAAAGCTAAGAAAAAATATTTATTATAAGGACAAAAATCAAATATAATAACATTTTAATATTTATTATAGGGATAAAAATCAATTATAATAAAATTTTAATATTTATATAGGGATTAAAATTAAATATAATAAAATTTTAATATTTATTATAAGGATGAAAAATAAAATATAATAAAATTTTAATGACTAAAATAAAAAAAATTACAAACCAAGGACTAAAATAAAACTAAAAGTAAAAAAAGGGGCTTAAGAAAGGTAGCAACAGAGAGAGAAAAAAACAAAACAAAACCTGTGAACTATAAAAAAAAAAGAAAATGGTGAACAGTGAATGAACAGAAAAGGTGCTATAGCACTTTCACGTTTTCTTTTAGTATATCTTGTAATGAAATTTGATCTTGGTATAAGCCTGATTAGCCAAGCCGGCAGCAATTGGGATCCAGTGTTCGACGCATATGTGTGGGATGTTATTGGGTCTTGTTAACTTTAAAAATTAGTTTAAAAAATAAGATTTTATTTTCATATTTATAATTATATATCCAGTCACTTTCACAATTAATATAAGATAATTTAATAATTTTTTTATCCACATATTAAGTCTTAAATTTGATTATTTATTATCAATTTATGTAATGTCAGCATACAACTGTTTAACCTAAATTTTGCTATTAGTATTGAATTTTATTTTAAAAGATAGTTAAAACAATGAGATTTCTCTTATATTTATAGCCGAACATCGATTTTTTTTTTTTTCCAAAAAAGATGTAGAATAACTTAATAAAACCCACAATTATGCCCCTAAACTTGTGGATGCAAAAAATAAAAAAAATAGAAAATAAAAAATTGGAGGAAGACTTCTGTAATGTGGACTTAGTGGTTTTCCAATGAAGGAAAGAATCTTAAGAATACAAGCAGACTTTGTAACCGATTCTTAAATATTATTTACACTAAAAGGTTTAAATCTTTTCTGAAATTTAGTTTATATAAAAATCAGTTTTGAATTTTTAACGAGTTTTGATTTTTTTTTTTTTTTAATTTAGTCTATCCCATGACTTTCAACTATCACCTCTTCCTTTAAAAAAAAAAATTCAATTATTAGTATTTTGATTTGAAATTTTGTACATGCATTAGAAAAACTCTAATCTATTTTTTAGAAAAATTCTAGAAATTTTCAAATTTAGGAATTATATTTTTTTAACGTTAAAATTATAAAAAATAAAAAAATAAAGATAATATGGAATGATCGCAAATTTTTAAAAAGTTCCACTTAAATAATTTTGATCATAAATCTACGTATGCAATGGCTTTTTTCTCTTAGATGAATGAAAAAAAAAATGTAAAAATATAAAATAGAAATTCAAGAATTAATTTTTAAATAGATTAAAATTCAAAAATGGTGCGACCATTTTAGCTTATTATTTTTATTTATAGCATGTTAGCATTACACTGAACCAAAGAGAACAACAACCACGACACCGCCTATCACCGGGAGACAAACGCCCCCAGAGTCTTTTTCAATAGTGAAACCACAAAGTAAACACCCTCACAAATCATTGGATGACAATGTTGTGTCTTAAAGCCGCACGCTCACTCTCTGCCAAACCATTTTCCTTCACTTTCTCATCTCCCAAACACCAACTCAAGCCCTTCCTTTCCTTCAAACCTTGCTCTGCATCCAAATCCCAAATCAAAATGTCATCATCCGCTCCATCCCAAACAATAGAACACATAGTCCTCTTCAAAGTCAAAGAAAACACCGACCCCGCTAAAGTCAACACCATGATTAGTTCCCTCAACGGTTTGATCTCACTCGACTCAGTACTCCACATAACCGCCGGTGCTCTCTACCGCACTAAATCCTCACCCATTCCCTTCACTCACATGCTTCACAGCCGTTACTCCTCTAAAGAAAACCTCAACGCGTATGCCGTCCACCCTAGCCACGTCAGCGTGGTTAAAGAATCGGTTCAACCAAACTGTGACGACGTCATGGCCGTCGATTGGGTTGCTGATGATCTCATCGGTGGTGAGTCATTGGTCCCACCTCCGGGGTCAGCGATTAGATTGACTTTTTTGAAGTTAAAAGAGGGATTAGGGGATGAAGTGAAAGATGAGATACTGGGAGTTATTAGGGAGATTAAAGGGAAATTTGAAGGAATTGATCAAGTTAGTTTTGGAGAAAATTTCTCTGCTAGAGCTAAGGGTTATTCGATTGCTTCGCTGGCTGTTTTTCCAGGATTGAGTGAATTGGAGGCGGTGGATTCAAATGAAGAGTTGGTGAATTTGGAGAAAGCCAAGGTTAGGGATTATTTGCAAAGTGTTATTGTTCTTGATTATGTTGTGCCGTCTGCACCATCTTCTTCCAGTCTTTGACGTTGTTTTTTTTTTTTTTTATGGTTTCACATTTTGTGTTATGCTTGGATTCCATAAAAATGAATAATGTAATGTGATGAATTTGGAGCTTTAGATTGCTGAGTTGCTTGTTCATTTCTGCTGCTGCTTTTGTTTTTGTTTGTGTTACGTGATTAGTATTCGGTCTGGTTGGTTTTTTGAATAGCTTTATTTAAGCTGAGGCAATGATAGCAAGATGCAAACTTTTTCTCTAATTGAAAGGAACAGAACGTACATTTATTTAGCCAGTTTGGTCTTCCTTTCCAAGATAAAACTATACGTTTTGAGAGTTTAAAAAAAAAAAAAATTGAATGGATGATCAACTCTCTGAATTTAAGGAAAGAAGAAGAAGAAGAAGAAGAAGAAGAAGAAGTAAAGATTGTCTCACTTCTATCTACCGTTAAGCATCGTGATTGTTACTTCATTGATGGAATATAGGTCTATCTTGTTTTCTTCAATCAGTTTTCTTTCAGTGAAGAAACCTGGCTCTTTAGGTTCAGGCAATAACCCATCTCCTTCCAACATAAGAACCACTGTCGACATGGTTGGCCTATCTTCCGGAGAGTGTTGCACACATAATAGGCCCACATGGATTAACCTTAACACTTCAGACAAATAGCAGGATTCTACTGTTAATTCATCAATCAACTCCAAAGATCTGCCATCCTTGTAGAGCTTCCATGCCTGAAATTTGAAATCATTTGCTTTGCATGAAAATAGTTCTTCATAATTGAAACATTGTGTTAATACTATTTTGAAACAACAAGAAGGAAAAGAAAAATCCTTACATGCCCAAGAAGGTTGAGTTCATGGTCTGGATGAGTAAATCCCCTGTTTCTTTTCCCACTGACAATCTCTAGCACCACAACACCAAAGCTAAATACATCGGATTTTATTGAGAAGAGACCATCAATGGCATACTCCGGCGACATATAACCACTGCATGATATCATCAAACAAGTTAATTAGCTTTTTCTAAGAAGACGTGATCCATTGTTCTTTGCCTACTCGAAGAGAGAAAGGGAAAAAAGAAGAACTCTTACTATGTTCCAACAACTCTTCTTGTATTTGCTTCTGTTTCATTCCCTCCAAAACTTCTAGCCATGCCAAAGTCTGAGATTTTTGGATTCATCTCATTATCTAGTAAAATGTTGCTCAGTTTAAGATCTCTATGAATAATTCGTAGTCTAGAGTCTTGATGGAGATAGAGAAGTCCCCTCGAAACCCCATTGATGATATGGAACCTCTTAGGCCAATCCAGCAACTTGCTTTGCACTTGATCTGCCCATTATATACATAATCTGCAGATTAATTCATATGGATGCTAATTTTACTTATAGGTGCGTATGATTGTACCTAGCTGTGAATATGATTTAGGAATAGGATAGTTTAAAAAAAAAAAAATGTCATGTGTAAACAAGTTGTTGTGGGCGTACTTAAGTCTATTAGAGGCAGTAAATCCTGAAACCTATGTGAACGGATAAATATTTGCAAGTTAGTCTTTGATCAGTAGGATTTTGGATGAAACAGAAGTTCTAACGCCTTCTTTCTAGCATGTATGTATGAAGCAACTAAAATGAAATCATCTTGAAAAAACATATGGTGAATATATCAAGGTTCAGAAATCCTAACCAAATATGTAGATGTCTAGACTGTTGTTGGGCATGTATTCGTATATCAAAATCTTCTCTTCTAGTTCTATGCAATATCCCAGAAGCTTTACAAGGTTTCGATGTTGAAGTTTCACAATGCATTTTACTTCGTTCATGAATTCATCAATTCCTTGGCTGGATTCCTTCGAAAGCCTCTTTACAGCTATGTCTTGTCCACCTTTCAGCATACCCTGCAAAATGAAAGTAGTGCCAGATTTTTTTTTGAGCAGGCAAGAACAATCATCATCATAGAAGCAAGATCTCTTCCTTTTAGTTGGTTTTTCATATTTGTTTTTCTTTAAGTCTGCCCAACCCCTTTTTTTTTAGTTTCTGGTTCCCCTTCTTCCTATGCCACCTGAATGTTAGAAAATAGTTTTTCTATCTTAACCCCAAAAGACGCATGGATTTAGGTATCACCACCTACTCTCAAAGAAGCTGAGCCTAGTATCATCTAATTTTGTTACCTTGTAGACAGGTCCAAAGCCACCTTTTCCAAGCAAATTGTTGAATGAGAAATTATTGGTAGCATTAGCTATTGCAGGAAAGTCAAAATGTGGTAAATCTAGGCTTTCCTCCTGGCTGTTCATTGACCATTGTTCTTCTGTATTGTTTTCCTTTTGCTCTGTGAAACATTGAGTAAAGGTGTAACAAATAAATTCTTTTAGGGATTCTAAAAAAAGAGTCTGACATTCATCTCTTGGCTCTACAAAGTGCTTTTATGGAGAGGTAACTTACTCTGTTTACGAAGAATTTGATGTCTATTATGCTTCTTCTGGAGGAATAAGCACAGGCCAAGGCCTAGAAGAAGCAATGCTGATAACACTATGCCTACTATGATGCCCGCCCTTTTCTTCTGGTGAGAGCTCTCCTGAGTAAGAGCACCTACAAGCAGGGAAATAACAATGAGTCAGTTACAGAATACTTCCAATTGGATATGTGTGTGTGTGTGTGTGTGTGTGTGTATATATATATATATATATATACAACAAAATTAGAATGTGCGTGCTCACCTACTTCAGAAGAAGCCATTCTAATGTAAAGGACTTGCCCATCTTCTGTGAATTGTCTGATGTCCACCAGGTCACCAAACCAGAGAAAGCATCCGCTTCCATGTCCCCTTATATCTGAATTGGTATAAGCCATGCAAGAACAATTTTTCAAGCATTTCATCCTGCATTCCTCCGTGGTCATGCTTGCATTCATTGCCCAAATCTTTATCTCAGGCAGTTTAATGTTAGAATACTTCACAAATCCATCTCCATCTTGGCAATTCAATGGTGTCCTCCGGACACACCCACTAGACCAGTCTGCCCTTTCCCATTCACTTTGGTTTTTCGGCACGAATCCGTTCAAACACCCACAAACTGGGGAGCCGCCAATGGTACACTTGCCATAAGCACCACATAATCCATAATTATCGCAATTATCTGCCGGTGCACTTGAGTACACAATCCAATTACTAAGTCGGTCAATCCAGGTGAGCCGCTCCATTGCACCATCTTGATTCAGAACCAATGTCGAAACAACAGAGCTGTTAATAAGATCATAAGTGAAGTATGTCTCTCTGTCGTTAAAAACAAAAGCATATCTATTAATGGGGTCTGGTTTCAGATATGGCAGACCACTAAACCCAACACCATTCCACGGCCCTGATCGAGCCTTCAAAACTGAATTCTGTCTGACAACAAACTCTAAACCGTTAGCATCAAGCTCAAAAGTATAAGGGCCTTGAGAAGGATCATCATTGCTCTTCCATGATGATATAATCACATCCAATCCTGAAGCTATTCGTCCAACCTTCATTCCAGGTAGAAATGTATTATCAGGATGTTCAAGACTTTGCCAAACGAAATTTTCATGGCCACGATCGTTTTCATTCCTGACAACAAGATTTCCTGAATCCAAAAGCTGAGCAACCGGGTTCTGCGCCTGCCTTGATGTATTGGAAGACCAAATGACACTACTATTCCGATTGAGAAGGATGAGAACTCCCCTCTCATCAAGCTTCAGGACGCCAGAGTTATCAGTGATTGGGATTTCTCTATTGGCAACCCATACCACCTTACCTTTAGATATCTTGTTGTACCATATTCCTAAGTACCGTCGCGTAGAATTACCAGGGCTGAAAAACCCCAGCTCAAAGCTCTCACCACTTGAAACAATGGTCTCTCCGTCTGTGATTGTTTGATTTGCTGAGATGGTATCTGCTGCCAAGGATGTAATGAAGAAAGAAGTAAAACAAAAGCAAAGTATGGTAATGCTATTCATTGATGTTCTCTTGTAAGACAGGTATGTTTGAGCTGAAAGACCGACTCTAACCAATAGAATTGGCATTAAGAGCTAAGGTGGTTATAAAGGACTGACAAGATTGTGTTTTTCAATTGTTCTTAATTAAGTAAAGATATTTTCATAAATGGAAAGGAAGTGGAAATTTTCAAGGAGAGTATCTTCAACCAAACATTCCTGATTCGTGCCCAAGTTGTGATTGGAATAATAGAAATTGACATGGTGGACCAAACCAGTTGGAACTCAATGTGCACTCATTCGTGCCCAACTTGAACTGCCCCATCGCCATTCCCATTACCTTTACCACGCAATTGGTGAATTTGTGTAATTTTATTGATAAAAAAAGTGTGGATGCCGTGTGGCCCGTGGTGGTATGTGTATGGGACAAATTTGACAGTGCATGGCGAGGAGCCATCCATCTTTGAATCTGGGACTCTCTTGAAACAAATATTCGGACTCCAATGACTAACAATTAATATTAAACTATAACTTGTTTGGACGTTGTTTGCTGATAATGAAATCATGTGGACTTTGGAAGAGGACATCCCTTCAATTTTATGGCTCTCTACTCTTTAGGCTATTCTAATTTTTGCATAATAAACCCTCCCTCAAGAATTAAGTTTATATTTTATTAACGATTGAAATTTGATAGTGTTTTTGTTTTGTTTATTGATGATTGTCACGATTCATGAAACCATTAACATAATAGGTGTTGAGTAGTTACTAATAAAGTCATTTGTGTCCTTTTTATGACCAAATAGATCAAAGTTTTCCTTCCAGAAAAGAAGATTGCCCGTATCTATTAGAGCAGGTTTCTCACATCGAAAAGTAAGAAATTTAACTCGAGGGTTTTGGGTGATAGAGGAGTATCTTTGATTAGAGTGGAACTTTTCTATATATGCTATTATTTCTGTTAATGGCTTAGCTGAACAAGAAAGCTTGGACTTAAGACACTTCACGTGGCTTTGACGATGGATGTCGCTATCGACTTTTGTAAGACTCTCAAAAATTAAATTTATTATAAGATTTAAAAATTTCGTTTGC